CTGGGTGCCAGGGAGAGGTCTGGAAGGTGTCCCCCAGGTGCAGTAGGTGTTGGGTGCAACCAGCAGCGTTTCAAAATCAGGCAACCTGGCCAAGCAGTTTGTCCACAGAATGATACGGGGTTGGAAGGGACCTCCGGAGGTCATCTAGTCCAACCCCCCTGCCTAAAGCTGGTTGCACAAGAACTTGTCCAGGTGGGCTTTGAATGTTTCCAGAGAAGGAGACTCCACCACCTCTCTGAGCAGCCTGTTCCAGTGCTCTACCACTCTTACAGTAAAGAAGTTCCTCCTCATGTTTAGATGGAACTTTTTCTGTTCAAGTTTGTGCCCATTTCCTCTTGCCTGTCAGTGGGCACCACTGAAAAAAGACCGGCCCCATCCTCTTGAGGTGCCCGTCCACAGTAGGTGCTAAATGACATCGTGCTGTGTCCATGTCTGGCATCCTGGAGCTGGTGGTCCCCATGTTGAGGCTGGGAGGCACTGGCAGGAGAGGTGGTGGACAGTGATTTGTGTTGAGCCTCAGCTGGTGCCATTCACGGTCACACAATTTGCCTCCATCACCTCGGATCAACGCGAACGATCCGAACTCACGTTGACTTCTAAACTCTCTGGACTTAGAGAAAAAATAGTGGAAGCAACGAGAAATAGTAATGAGACGGTCTGTGGCCAAGACCACATGTTTCAGGGGAAGGCAAAGCTGTATAGGCTCCTCTCACAGAGACGGCGTTATCCCTGATTCCCACTGGCAAGGGAGGATGGGGAAAGCAGGAATGGGAACCCTCCCGCTGCAGAGAAAAATGAAGGATTTGGGGCTTATTTCTCCCTGCCTGCAGCTTTGTCCCTGTGCCAGGTTCCTCCCACCTGGTGGGGTACGTAGTGAAAGGCAGGTGCCGTATGGACATCCCAGTGGTTTCATCCACAGGAGGATTTAGATTCAATGTCCCCCCTAAAAGAGCCCTTAAGGCTTCCCTCCCGCTTTCTCAGCCAGTCCCCATGTTTAATTCTTCTGTGCAAAGAGCTGCAGAGCTGCTCCAAAGTGTTTTGAGGTTGCTGCTGCCCTGAATTACCCTACACATTGGGTAGTGCCCACCCTACGCAGTGGGCAGAGCCTGGCTCGAGGTGGAGATGTTGCATTTGGAACCCCCAAAGAGTGGCTTCAGTCCCGCTGTGCTTTTGGCAGAAAACGTTGGCAAGCAGGAAGGTCTCAGGGTGGTGAATTCTGGCCCCAAGATAAAGTTGGTGTGCACTGCATCAGAAGGTGTGTGGAGTAGGCCTTGCATTCTGCTACGCTCATGTATTTCTTACAACTTCCCTTCAGTCGAGCACTGCTTTTCCAAATCCCATTCTTTAGCACCCAAACAACCTCACAGCATCTCTGCAGGAACGGGAGGACACCCAGAGTGGTGGAACTCCCTTCTGCTGCGGATGAAGTGGTTCCTTCTCTACCAAAGCTGTCCCACACCGTGTCCCTTGTGCCTTTCGGAGCGGTGGTGGGGTCGGGAAGCAGCTCTGGAGGAGGGATGGGTCTGTGGAGAAGTAAATAGAGCTGCAGAAGGTTCCAGCGAGAGCCGTCGGTGTTTCCAGCAAGCCATCTAGTGGCTTCCTATTAAAACGGTTGCACATTTTCAAACTGGGAGGGCGAAGCTGAAGGGGTGAGTGCTGCTCACCACCGCAGTTGTGTCAAGGAACTGATGTGGAGGGTTTGGCCCAAATTGGGAAAAAGCACTACTGTAAGAACCGCCTTCTGGGTCACAGGGTGGTGGAAGGGTTGGGTTAGAGGCTGGACAGCAGCGTGGGTCTTCTGAGACCAAACCTGGTGGGTGATCCTGCGTATGGACATTCAGATCTTCCATTTCACTGGTGTGGGTTTGGTTACTCTAGCTCAAAAATACATGAAGGATATAGGGATAATCGATGATTTAGAGCAGCTTCCTCTCTGGTATGGATAGGAAACTGCAGACAGAGAAGGTTTTGGGTTTTTTTAAAGTTTGGGGCTTTTTTAATAACATGAGATCAGGGCATTTCAGTTGGTGAAATCTTGGGCAGCAGGTTGAAAGCAAAGAGAAGAAAGTACTTTTTTACTTTTTTTTTCAGTTGTGGCACCCGTGGGCACAACCTGCTGCAGGGACTGAAAGTTTGAAGGCTTCATAGAGGGGTTTGGTAAACGCTGGAGGAGAAACTGATGGGCTGGGAAGCGTCAGCCAGGTTGTCTAGATAGATCCTGAGTGATCCTTGACTGGTGTTTGTATGAGCTGTTCAGAAGAATCTCTGGGGATGGAGATTTTACAATGTCTGTAGGCAATCTCTCCCTGCGCATCACTGTCCCTACCTGTAGGACGTAGTTTCTTCATGTTTGACCTCATTCGCCTCTGCTGCAATTCAAACCTGTCCCGGTTTGAAGTAAAACCGGACCAATTTTGTGTTCCGTAATTTTACATTTTAGCTAGGCCTCCTCTAACTTGCTGAAATTAACAGCATATCGTGGAGAAAACTGCTCGTTCTCAGAGTGATAAGACCGATGGTTGTGCTACATCCCAAGGAATGGTGTGCAGAGAGGCCCTGGCTTATATTCATTGCTAAAACAGCCAAGGTCAGCCAATTTTCATTATTTGCCCCTTAGAGGGTCGGAAACGGAAAACCCGTAGAGGGGTCCCATCTGTGGGGAGGAACGGACAGGAGAGGTGACCCAAACCTGACCAACTGGGGTATTCCATCCCATCTGCCCCATGCTCAGTATAAAAACTGAGGGATTAAAGGGTCAACGCTCTTCCAGCGGTGGCCGATGTCCGAAGATGACCCTGTCTGTTCATCTGCCTTTGATCCCGATCCGTGTGTTCCTGACTCCAGAACTGGAACCCAGTTCCCATCCGTCGCCGGGTCCAGTCTGGGACTTCCCCAGTGCCTGACGGTGATGGGACTGTCATCCTGGGAGCTTGATATAGTTTTGTGTATATTGTATCCATTTCATTATTTTCTTCTCTTTTTTTTTTTTTAATATTAATTCTTCATTAAATTAGTTTAGTTCATTCTAAACTTTTGAATCTCCTTATCTCTTCCTCTCCTCTTTTGGAGGGGGGGGAAGGGCCATCTGTCAGTCCGGGTGCAATAATTTCGGCTGAAACCACGACAAAACTTATTACTACAACCCCTGGGAGCCATGGAGAACAGCTTATGCATGTCCGTATTCCACCTCTCAGGCAGATGACAGGCTGGCTAGTGCAGTTTTTCTGTGCAACGTGGCATTTTGAGTGATATTCAATGTGTGATGCTTCCCGACCTGCCCCGGGCTCTTCCCCTCCTGGTGCTGCACAGCGCTTTGTTCCCACCTGCATCCAGATGTTTGCACCTCCTTAATGCAGCTGTGTTTTTCTGACTCTTCTCCAGGTCTCAGCATTGTTTGAATCATAGAGTGGTTAAGAGTTGGAAGGGATCTTAAAGATCACAGAATCACAGAATCTTCTAGGTTGGAAGGGATCTTAAAGATCATCTTGGCCAGCCGTCAACCTAACTGACAAAAATAGACACCCACACAACAAACAAGGAGCATCATCACTAAACCATACCTCCCAGCACTACATCAACCCGTCTTTTGAACACCTCCAGGGATGGGGCCTCAACCACCTCCCTGGGCAGCCCATTCCAATGGCTGATAACCCTTTCGGTGAAAAAACTTTTCCTAATATCCAGCCTGAACCTCCCCTGGCGTAACTTGAGGCCATCTGCTTGAGATCATCCAGTTCCAACCCCCCTGCCTTGGCTGGTTGATATTCATCCGGTTCCAACCCCCCTGCCTTGGGCAGGGACACCTCCCACCAGACCAGGTTGACTTCTAATCCAGTTTTCTGGAGCATTTTCACTTCTCCTATCGCGATACCTGCGCGTTGAATAGGTTGATCACATCACCCCTATTGCCCGTGACGTGCTGGGCAGTGTCACAGCCGGGACAAGTCCTCCTGGCTCAGCCCCATCCTCCCAGTCTGGCGGTGAATCACCAGTAACGACTCCCTCCATATGGTTCTCTGATGAGTTGTGTGCCCACATTAGAGTAGTTTCGCCCGAGCGTGTTTCCCTGGTGGTGCTGCTGAGGAAGCCGTCTGTGGCAGCACCTAATGAATATCAAGATCTACGGCTCTGACTGCTGCTCCAGCTATTCACAGGCCAGTTACTCTGTCGCAGAAGGAAATTAAATTGTTCTTGACAAATCGGTGTCGGCAGTCACTTATCATCTTGTTATCTTCTAAGTGCTTCCAAATAGGTTGTTTCATTATTTGTTTCATCAGTTTTCCAGGAGTTGGAGTTAAGTGACCGGTCCGTAATTCCCTGCCTTTTCCTTTTGCATATTTTTAAAGCTAAACCCTGTGTTTGCCTTTTTCCTGGTCTTCTAAAAGCTCTCCTGTCTGCCACAAGCTAACACAGGAGCAGTAGCTCTGGGGCTGCTTTGGCTGAGCCCTTCCCTCCATCCCTTTGGGGCAGGTTATCACGCCGGGCTGGTGGATGGACAACACCCTGGTTTGGTTACTGTCTTCCTGCTGGGATGCTTCTTCCCTTCACCCTCCATGGCTCTTGCCTGGGTTAGTTCATTTGAATCTTGACCTTTTCCATTTTCCAACCAGTGCTTTTAAAGGGTTGGGTTTATCCATGAAGGGCTTCTTGTGTAGTATTTTGTGTAATCTGCAACGATACGGAAAATTTGGGCCAAACCGTGGCTTTGATTAACATTAGGACAACAACAGTGGAGATACGTGGCCGTGGAGGTGGGTGTAATTTGGCCTTTTGAGTGATTAGCAGGGGTATCTGGTAACTCTCCGTGTCCAGTTCGGCACACCAGGCTGTGACTGGGGTTTTCAGAGAGCGATGTTTCTGGAGATGCTCACACATGGGGGCATTCCTCTGGCGTGTCATATTTACCCTCCCAGGGTCTATTTATTTCTTTATTAGCTCTGTGTGCCCATTTCTCAATTCTCTTCCTTTTTTCCCCCCCCCTCCCCCTATTCCTTCAACAGGAATCATTAACCAATGGCAACAGGAATCCAAGGATAAAGTGATCTCCCTCTTGTTAACCCACCTGCCTTTACTGAAGCCCGGAAACATCGAGGCAAAAGTCGAATACATGAAACTCTTGCCGAAAATCCTGGCCCACTCGATCGAACACAACCAACACATCGAGGAGAGCAGGCAGCTGCTGTCCTACGCCTTGATACACCCTGCCACCTCCTTGGAGGACAGGAGCGCCCTGGCCATGTGGCTCAACCACCTGGAGGACCGCACGTCGGGTGGCTTCGGCAGCCAGGGCAGAGGTCGGTCGGATTCGGTGGACTACGGGCAGACGCACTACTATCACCAAAGACAAAACTCCGACGACAAACTCAACGGATGGCAAAACTCTCGAGACTCGGGCATAAGCGTCAGCGCTTCCAGCTGGCAGGACAAAAACCTGGCCTGCGAGAACGGCCATCTGCCCCTCTACTCCTCCTCCTCCGTCCCCACCACCATCAACACCATCGGCACTAGCACAAGCACCAGTAAGTACCCATGGGAAGCGCTGGGGACGGCCACCCATGGCCACCCTTCACAGCACGTTCCCCCCCATCCCGCTAGACAACGTTGCTTTGCCGTGGTTAGCAGAAGGGATAGGCTTCATCTGGGCCATAGAAAACTCTTTTTTTTTTTCTTTTTTTTCTTTCCCCTACCTGCTTTTTTATTTCCTGCCTGCCTCTTTTTTTCATTTTTTTCTCTAGTCCTGTGGGATTTTAAAGACCTGATGGCTGGAGAGGAGGGAAGAACAGCCAGGCTGTAAGAGCAAAAAATGCGCTTTATTGAAGGGACCCCCTTTTGTTTCGTGTAGCTCCATCGTAGATTTGGAGTTCGCGTTTCAAAGATTTCCTAAAGCAGGCGGGGAGCTGATGCTTCATGTCCACAAGTGACCTGGGGACTTACTGGGAGGAAATGAGTTTGGGGCCCCAAAGCGCAGGCATCATTTTTAGAAGCAGGGCTGGGATCCACCATCTTCGGGGCATATCTGGAAACATTACCTTTTATCTCCAGTGCACAGAGGTGTGAAGCTGGTGGTGATCAGGGCGGGGCTAGTTGCAAAGTTCTCGGTGTTTTCCAGGAGAGTTGGTAGCTCTTCCCCCATGGAGGCCCTGCCAGGTGTTGTTGGGAATGGTGGATGGTGCAGAGCCCAGTCCAAGCCTTGGACATCTGGAGATGCTGCAGAGCACCGTGGCTGGAGGTTTATCACTGGTTTTGTGTGGAAATGCAGTGCAGCTAGAACTTTTTAAGCAGTCACTGGTGCCTGTGAGCCATCCTTGGGAGAGGAGGAACGAAGCATCTTCTCAGTGGGGTTGAGGAGCTCCTCTACCCACCCGCTCCCTCTGTGGAGGGCTGTCACGCCTGCCTTGCTGTCACCTTGGGTGACAGCCACCATCTCACCTGCAAGGCTGGACGTCCTCCTTTGCTTTGGGGCATTCAGAAGGTCTTTCTCCAATATGCTTGGCATCTCCCTAGATGTAAGGGATGCAGACAGCACTTCAGGAAGGAGAGGTTTTTTGCGGTGAGGGCGCTGTCTTCTCTATCAGCATGTGGAAAGCCACAATTAAATAGCTGAAAGCTTTAAAATGGTCACTTAAGGATTCTGGGTTTTTCCCTCTCCTGTAATAAGCGCTTTTTTTAGGTGGTGTTTCAAACTGACAACGATATGAAACGCGGTTTGTTGCTGTAGCACCCCGGTCCCTGCCTCTCCAGGGTCCAGCCCTGCAGGCAGCACTGCTGGTTCTGCCACACGGGGATTGGGCAGAAAAGTCTCAGCTTAGAACTACAGAATCACAGAATGGTTTAGGTTGGAAGGGACTTTTAAAGCCCATCTAGTCCAGCCTTCCCTGCGAAAAGCAGGGACATCTTCAACTAGATCAGGTTGCTCAAAGCCTCATCCAACCTGACCTTCAACACTTCCAGGGATGGGGCATCTCCCACCTCTCTGGGCAACCTGGGTCAGCGTCTCACCACCCTCAGCATAAAAAATTTCTTCCTTATATCTAGTCTGAATCTTCCCCTTTTTTTGGTTTAAAACCATTACCCCTTGTCCTATTGCTCCACTCCTTGCTAAAAACTCTGTCCCCGTCTTTCCTGAAGCCCCTTTAGGGACTGGAAGGGGCTCTAAGGTCTCCCCAGAGCCAGACTACAGCCAAAATACACAGCAGTGCCCAGGCAGCTGCACTGATGAGGTTTCTTCCTCAATTCTCCAGAGTTTAGCAGCACTGGGACAGGAGCAGTTGTGGGTCTGCCAGCAGCCCTACACTTCACCCTGGTCTTTTGCTGGAAGACCACATCCCTTCTCCATCCCTGCCACTCACTTTGCTGGGGCATCCCCTGCCGTAAGTCCCAGCACGGCATCCCTTGCAGGCTGAGTGGAAACGACCCGACCACGCTTGATGTGTTAGTTCATGAGCTTCCTTAATGCAATATTTGCTCAGACACAAACACAGTAAGTCCACAGGCAGATGCTAAAAAATAAACACGGCTGTCAGCCTTTGTCCCAGCCCCTTGAGTCAATCAATACGTCCATTAATCTTTTATTCCAAAGCAAAGCCCTGAAACTGTGACTGTTTGTTTAGGTTTTAGTGTTATTATTTTTAAATTCTCCTTCCTACTTGGAGATGTTTATCCAGGCAAGGGCTTAATCCAGCAGCATCCTGCAGGGCACAGTATTCCCCAACCTGTCCCCGCAAAAGTACTTTGTTCCTGATGCCAAAATGGGGCAAAGTCTTTCCTGGAGGAGTAACGTGGTGATCTTACCTGAGGCACTTTCATCTGGTGGTGTGGCATAATTAAGGGTAGCACTATTACAGTGTACGGTTTAAATATGGGTGGCTGAAGCTCATGTGACAGTTTGCTTTGTGCTGTCCTTGTCTTGGATTTGACCTAGACCCAGACTTCGAGACTTGGTTCTGGCTTGGTTCCTCTCCAGCTCCCTTGTAACGTGCTGGTTGGTGTTAGCTGAGGTTTGAGGAGATGTTGCTGGAATTCTCCAGCCTTTGCAAGGCATGTCTGGAGCGCTCTGAAGGAGTCACTCGGGATTTACACCAGTGACAGTGATCCAGGAGTGGGACCAGCATCATAAATGATGGTTTGGGTCTGGAGCAATTTGAAAGAATGGACTTACCCAAAGCAATGAAAGTTCATATGCTCCTTCCTATCTGCCTTATCACCATAACTGCTTCCTCAGCCCGTCCCACAGAGCTTGACCTGCAACTTTAAACCAAGTTTTAGCATGCTGGGAGTAAAGGAGGACTCAGTGTGGACTTGGGAGCGCAGGTGGGCAGGAGGCCAGAGCCACTCCAGACATGGTGGGACAGGGTGAACCTCAGAGCCCTGACTCCATGGCCGAGTCAGGCCACAGTTGCAAAACGCCCGGGTTGCACAACGTCGTTGCAGTAGAGATGGGGCCTGGAAACTCTGAAAGGACAGAAAAAAGCATCTGGCTTTCAAAGCTGCAGACCAAGAACTCCTTGGGTGGAGGCTCCACCTCCTTCCTTTCCACTGTGTAATTGATTCCACCTGAGTAGCATCTGATGGCAGGCTGGGTTTTGGTTGTCAGATGAAAGTAGAGCGTAGCTTAACCCTGTGGTTTCTGCCTGCTCAGAAGGGAATACGTGCAGAGGAGAAGGTGGGTCTGCTGTTAGATATGCTTGTCCAGCGCTGAGAAGGTGGTGTGCAGGTACATTGGTCTGAATTGGACCTACAAGCAAGAAAAAGGGAAAGCACAAGCTTTGGAGGGAGTGATAGCAGCTCCAGCTGGCAATAGTGAGCCTGATGAACCACAGCTGAAGGTAGGGGTTCAGTTCCTGGCCCTGACATGCATCTGCTGAATGAGCGTCTTGGTCCTCTGCTCCCAGTATAAAACCTGGGCATAACAGTGTTACTTATTTTATCAATGTATGGTGAGATGTTCCTGTGTTCTCATCTCTGGTGTAGTGCCAGGACACTGAAACTCCCCCATGGAGAGCAGGTTCCTAGGGGCAAGTCAACCTCCTACCTCTGCACAGGGGCAGAAGGTCTTAGTTTTACTGCAGGAGCAACAGTAATTTGCCCTAAACATTTGAATGAAGAGCAAGCTCTTTTTGGCAGAGGAGCAAGGACCTTCTTGTGCCAGTACCTACCCAGAAGAAGAGGTGGCTCAGTGCCAAGCGCAGGCAGCACTTCATCCAGGGTAAGTGTCTCCAGTTGTCACCCTGCCTGGGGGACAGGAGTTCTGCCCGCTTCTGTATGGGCTGTTGTGCTGCCATAAAGCAATGGCATGTTGAATTCTGTGGTGGGAGATGGCCCTGGAGAAGGTAGACTGGTCTTGCTGGAGCCTTGTGTGTCTAGGAGTCTGACTTTCCAAAAAGAGGAGGAGGTCCCTGGACTGGTAATGGTGGTATCTGAGTGCATGGCTGGTGATGCCCCATAGTGCTGTCCTTGGGTGAGCACCCGGTGTGTCCCTGCTGTGTGCATCCTGGGTCCCTTGAAGTGGCACCAGTGCCTGGAAGCATGGTGTGGGTGGCATCAGGGGACAGGGTCAGTGATGGATAGATACGGTCAGAGACCTCGCAGAGCAGAAATCCTGAGCGTTGGGGCTGTGTTTATGCAGGAGAGATGTTGCAAACTCTTTGGGATTTCAGCATTGCTGTGCTCCTGGGTTCCCCTGCCACTGAGCAGAGAGGTCCTTGGACCAGCAAAGCTGTTTGCTGGTCTGTGGCCACCCTTCCGCTTCTGAAGAAATGGGAAAGGTGCCGGGTGCTCAGCCCTGCTACACCCTTCCCATGGGAGTCTCTGCCAGAAAACTGAGGTCATTTGCCCATGAGGAGAGAGGAGGAGAGGGAGCAGTGTGATGCAGGAGAAATACTCACCTGTATAACCTTGTCCTGAAAAGGACAAATCTCTTATCTTGTCCTAAAGCTGAAGAGAAGGATGTGGTTGGCTAAATTTTGCCTGCATTTGCCCCACTTGCGGATTCCCTGGTGAAAGAGCAGGTGGACAAGATGGTGGAGCTCTTCCCCAGGTTATCAGGGAACTGAGGTGGAAGAAGCAACACCAAGAAATCACTTCTCGTGAATGGAAAGAGAGTTTCCTGACTCTTCCTTCCCTACGCTGTTGTGCAATAGCTCAGGCCCACCACTGGAGATGACCCAGTTGTACCCAGTATCCAAACTGAGCTTGATAATGGGATAATTGCATGGTTTAACCCTCAGGACCACCTTGATTTGTGCTGGGTTGATGGGCGGCTTGCGAGTACGAGCTCTCCTCTTGTGTAGATTTGCACCAACACCTGAAGGGGATCGTGTGTCCTCAGTGCATGTTTGACTTAGGCAGGGAGACATGTTTCCTCCCATGCAAAGTTAGCAAAACTTGCTCCAAAATAAGAGTGCAAAAGTCTTAATAAGGTTACAACAGTGAAGCAAACAAATGTGGTGTTCTTGCCAGGGTGGGGGGTGATTAGTTCTGTACTTGGGAATTGCCTTCAGAAACTTCTTCCTCACTTGGC